GAACCAGCATCCCTGTACAGCAGACACTTACAGCGCTTGGCTGCTTCCATTGGACCCTCTGCACAGAGCTTCAGTTTCCTCTTCTGGTCCCAAAGTGCAGAACAACAAGGTTTCAAACAGCTTCGTTCCAGCAGCATCAGCCACAGACATGCAGAGAGAATCCTTTGGTTGTGTTGTGTGTTTGCATATCTGCTGTGGTGCTTTGTGAGGATGGATCATCTCCTGCAGCTCCAGATAAACAAGCTGGACCTGAACCTGGTAGCTTCACTTAGAAGACACTTGTGACGGGAACGTGTGAGAAGTTTTGTGCAGACAAGTGTGGATTTAGAGTGTGGGACGAGCTCTCCACAGTCTTTGTGGAGATCCACATTCTGCATACTGCCTGTGAGAAGCTGCAGACATTTGTCCTCAAAATCCACTGAGCAGCTGCTCGTGGTGGTATTAGCTTCATGTGTGCGTGTTAGCATGAAGCCTCGGTCACACTCTGCTGTGGACACGGTCACGGACAGCTGGACGCCTGATGGACGAGTCGTCCTTCCTGTTAAACTTCTTTGAGCATGAGAATAGCATGAGAAGCTCAGTGGACACTGTTCAGTGTTTTAACTCTCGCTTTCACTTCAGCTTCACCAACAACAGCACAAGCAGAGCAGCCCACTGCCTGCATGGCTGGGACAGCGCCCCCTGGTGACTGTAAACCACTACAACATGTAGACGGCCGTCTGCAGGCTGGATGTAGCACCACCGCAGAGACGTGCTGCAGCTCTGTTTAGTTACCCAGCTGACAGCAGAGGCTGTAGTTTACTGTTACCAACATGGAAAACTGAAGCTTCACCAGCTGGAGCTACAGAGCTGGAGAACAAAGGAGACTGAGAGGCCAGAATGATGTGGGAGGAAACATCAAGAGCCTGTTTGAAAGGAGACACATGTGGATGCTGTGCCAGTCTGTGGTCTGTCAGAAGTCAGCTGAGTCACACTGCAAGAAGCTGCAGAATCTCAGAGGAGGAGATTTGGAAGTGTTTGTGGGACAAACTGGACTCAAAGAAAGAAGATGTTTGTGAAGTCTTTGGTGGAGGTGAGCAGTGTGAAGCAGAACACATGCAGATGAATCAGGAGGTCAGCATCAGTGTCTCCTTGTGGTGGACGGTAAAAGAATCAGAGCCAACGCTCCCGTCCACCCTCGGCATGAAGCAGTGCTGTTTCTGAAACAGGAGGACAAGTCCAGAGAAGACAGAGGAAGCAAAGATGAGGGTGGGACAGGACAGCAGGACTTCCTTCACACCTGCAGCTCCATCACACTGCTGTAGCTCCTCTTCATCACACATGTACCTGCAGCCTGTCTTCAAGTCCAGGAGTCACCTCCACACAGTGTAGAAGCCTCCTGTGCAGACCATGGAGTCCAGCCTCTGTCAGGGAAGTCGGCACTAAAGCCTGAAAGACTTCAATCTGTCTCTGCTCCACCCGAGAAAGACCAGCACCGTACTTGTTGTGCATTCAAGGAGGGAACATCAGCACTGCATCGTGGGAACAACACCGCAGGAACAAAGACACAGCACGGCCGATGAAGGACGAGGACAAAGGAAAGGCGAGTGAGAAGATCCCGGTGGTGTGGACGGACCTGCAGGGGCTCCAAGACTGAGGAGCAGAGACGTCCATGTACCAGCTGAGGATGCTGCAGTGATCCAGGGAGCTCGGTCCAATCTGAGGCCGTGTGAACTACGTGGACCACAGTTTCTTCACAGACTTCAGCCACGTGAACATCTGGAGATCCAACAGTGTACGAGCTGTGAGCCATCAGCTGTTTCTCTCATCAGCTGCTGGAATGAGAGCTGCTGGAATCATCTCGAGCAGCAGGAAATCACTGATGTTGTTTCTGAACAAAGATATGGGACTGAGCTCCGCTGAGCTCCTTCTACTTTCATCCAGATAGAAACTGCTACAGTCTGCTGATTATTGCTTTGCCTCCATCACACGAGCTCTTTATCCTGTTCTTCACTCTCATTGGTTCTTTGTCTGCTTGTTTTTACAACAGTAGTCTTCTGATTGGTCAAAGGAGACAATCAGCTGTGACTAAATGTAGCTCCTACAGCAGTGATGGGAATAACTACTGAAGCTAATCCAGTATCAAAGCTCAGGAATCAGCAGCTCCCACCTCGTTTTCTTTCAACAACTATTTTTAGCTGCTGTGTTTTTGTGTTTCTGCAGACCTCAGACATCCTGCTGCTCTGGACAACTTTTTCATTCTTTTGTATCATTCTTTTGCTTTTCTTTTATTATTATGTTATATGTATTAATATGTGAAACACTTCTTTGTGTTTTTGCTTTGCTCCTGTCAAACTGCTTTAATAAAATCTGCTGCAGTCTAAACTGTGGACGTTCCCTTTTTAAGCCTTTGTGAAACAATAAAGGTTTAAATCTGAGTATTCATCTATGTTAGTGTTTAATGGGTCTAATAGGACGCTTTTAGGGGGTGGGTTTTTATAATCGATTTATCGATTAAAATCGATTCTGGCTTGGATAACGTAAAATAGATTTATTAAAATCCTGAATCTATTTTTTTATATTAATTTATTTTGCTTGAAATTCCAGAATTTCTGGTGAAATCTCACAAAATTTCAACAACAGCTAAGACAGTAAATGAGAGCAGGAACACGGATTCTGCACAAAGACTTAAACACACAGCGCGACCCGCGAATCAGAATCAGTGAGATGTCGCTTTTCTCACCCGATGACACGGACACGGTCGGGGTTGAAAGCCGACAGCTCGCTGATTCTGATGTTTCGGCGGCTCCGCGCTTTGTGTTTAACCTGTTTGAACCTGCTTAGCTATACCATACCGTCACTGCCATTATATTATGTTGCTATTCATACTGTCATTATATTAATGCTGCTATCCTGTATATATCATACTTACTATTGTTTGAATACTTGCGATTGTTTTATTGTACTTTTTATATTTTACATTTATATTTATTTTTGAATCTTGCACCAAGGGAGTGGCACTCCAATTTCATTGTACTCTGTACAATGACAATAAAGGCTATTCTATTCTATTCTATTACGTCCTTTTTACACTGATTCTAAAGCTGTTAGTTTTATCTCTCTCCAAACAATATTGACTGAACCAGCAGCAAAAGAAGATCCAAACTACGCTTCACATAAACATCGTCATGAACTCACTCTGACTTTTGCTGTTTTGTTTCCACCAGGATAAAATCACACTTCATGCACAGCTCTCTCTCTCTCTCTCTCTCTCTCTCTCTCACACACAGTTTCCCATCTAAAAATCTGTTTTCTGCATTATTCGCTTGCTTGTTACGCACAAGTCTACCGTTGTTTACAGCGCTGTCGGACGCTGTTTTTTTTCCTTTTACTTACTTTCGAAAAGAAATCCTCATTTCTGCCGTTCAATACTGAACAAATTTAAACTTTTTAAAATTATGCAAAACTGCAAAACGCTGTGTTTGTAATAAAAACGGTGTAACTTTGCTCTGCTTCACTTCAGCAGCATCAGGTAATGTTTATGTGTTTTTGATCTACTGCAGAATATTTTTATAAAATCCCAGGAAAATCCGCTTCATGTTTTTCTGTGTTTTATCTTCAGCTACTTTGACACAAAGGCCTCTGCTGTGATGCTCACACCTTTGATAAAGTCGCGAAAGTGCCAGCTTCCCTTTTATAGATACAAAAATATGTAAATATACTGATCTGAATTATAATATTTCTGACTGTCTGAGGCAACATTTCCCAGATTCCAATCGAATTGAATCGAATCGATTCTAGAAATCAGTGACGATACCCAGCCCTACTTTGAATTGTGTTACACAAAAATAAGCAAAGTTTCTCGTTGTTCAGGCAGAATCGAGCGTTGAAGAATGAATTCACACGTCAATAAACATTTTCATCAGCACAAGCAGGACAATGAAAGCAGGAAATACCCCAAACTGCCATTTCTCATTCTACAACTTCAACAACTGCACATGAATTATACTTCATACACAGACCCACAGTCTCTGATTGCTCTGAAATCTCACTGACAGCCAATAGAAATAAAGAAAAGTCCAGACTGACAGTCTCTGTGGGGTTAGGCAGTGAACTGCTCACGCTGCGTTCAAGTGCATCGCAAACTATTGGAATTGGATCCAACTTTGTGAAGCAGATTTCTTCTCAGCTGCTGCTTTGAACATTTCCTCATGAACTGTATTAAACTCTGTAAATGAACTGAGAACTATTTCTACATTTGAAACTATGGATTCATTTTCCCGTTCACTTCTGTACGTTAGTGTATAAATGAATGTTAGACTGGGCTCCATGGAAACACTTGGACTGGTCTCAGCTGCCTTCTTTCTGTAGTCCTTTCTCTTCTCCAGCTTCTGTTTGAAATCCTCTCACAGAGCCTGAAACCTGCTTTGCTGTCATGTTTGGGCCTGTGTTCCTCTGCTTTAACACAAACCTCACCACAGCAGCTGTGTGGGTAGTCTCTGTAGCAGCCCGATCAGCTTCTGATACATGAACATCATCACAGCTCCTAACTTCACCTTTATTAGCTTTGACATTCATGTCTTTCTTTTCTCTGTCTGTTTCCACACAAGCTCAAAGTCTCTGCAGCCTGTTTTTATCTGCTATCATCAGATCTCCAACAGCCTCATTCACATCCCTCACACACTCTACAGCCTCACCAGTACTGACTTCATCTTCACTGACTGATGGAGCACAACATGAACCTGTGGAGGCTGAAAAGCTGTCCTGACAAACATCTCCCCGTCACCACTGCACTTCTGTCAGCCTTTAAATGAACCCTGCTCAAGTCTGTAACTTCTATTTGGAGCCAAGAGGAAAACTGTTGTTCAGTCGTTTGGAAAGACACAACATTTCTGAAAGCACTCAAACTTCTTCACATTTCTCTTCAGACACATCCTGAACATTTAGGAACTAAAGAACGTTTCAAATATCAAAGATCAGAAATATAGAAAAACAACAACAGCTGCAGTCAGTGAACTCACCTCAGAGTCTCCAGTCGACAGTTTGGACTCTCCAGTCCAGCACACAGAAGCTTCACTGCTGAATCCTGCAGCTTGTTCTTACTCATCTCCAGCTCTGTCAGATGGGAGGGGATGGACTTCAGAGCCGAGGCCACAACTTCACAGTGAGTCCCTGAGAGTCCACAGTCAGCCAGTCTGTGATCATAGAAAATATAAAATGTGTTATTATAAAAGCAGAAAATCTGCATTATAATGTATGAAGACAAAACAGAGTGAGGTCATAATCTGATGAACATCTGCTCTTCACATCTGTGCTTCAGCTCCTCTTACTGTGTTTGACATGACACAACGATTGAGTCTCTCTCAGACCTGCAGACTTTTAATGAGAATCTTTGTTTGGCTTTAATCTGCAGATGAAGGAGGAAGATGGTGTCACATTTAGGCTTCCATAATGTCTACAGTCTGTCAGTGAGATCTGATCCAGAGTCAGAGTGAAGACACACATGTGGACTGTTTCCTGTCTTGAATCCAGAACATTTTGAATGAGCTCAGCTCAGTGAAGAGTTCCAGCTGGAAAGACGATCTCTGTTTGCTACCTGCTGCTGTCAGGTACGACTGTTCACGTCCACACTCAGGAAAAATCTGCTGACTGTCACCAAACGGAGCAGAAATCTCATCACTGGACAATAATGATGAATGAACTCAGAGCTGCTGATATCACATCTGATTTCAGGGGAACTAAACACAGAAATGATTGGCTCCTTTTAGCTTTCTGAGCCATTAGTCTGCAGGTTTATCACTAGTTGGCAGAAACAGACTTGTATTAATGTTCAGCGCTTCAGTGTTTATGACTCCAGATCCAGGTGACAGCAAGTCAAAATGATGTTACCTGTCTGTGTCCAGCAGCAGCCTTTGAATATTGTTATAAACTCACATGGATCAGTTTGTCTTTGATTGGTTTGTAAAGTTCAAATTCATTTAAATTCATCAACTCTAAATGAAAAATGTTTTTCTTCTTCTATGTTTATTATTAGAGTAACAAATTCTTATAGTTTCCTGTTGTTGAGAATTTCAGTGTAAAACCACTCGGACCTGTGCATCACTGCACACTGTGAAAGTATTACTGCAGTTTAATCTATAATCCTAATCAGTGTGTTTACTGGACTGTAGTCAGACCTCCGTTATACCAAAGGAAACACTGAACGTCTTCAAAGTCACAATAAATTTATACTAAATGCTAATAAATACTGGAGTGTTAGAAAAGATGCTTCCAGCGTGTTTGTCTTTGATAGGGTTTATTCTGTTCGTCTATTGTCTGACCACTTGGGGGCGCTTTTGTCTCTTTTGCTCTGAGCCTTGGGTTTATTCAAACTGATTTTAATAAACTATTTTCTGCAAGTTGAAGCTTCATCTCCATCTCCAGTGGTTGTTGCATATTTTATGGCTATATTAGTAACAGTCAGAGAGTTTAGAGTAAATTAGATCTTCACGTTTGATTTTTGACACAACATAAATGGTGAGCCAGTGTCAGAGGAAGTGACAGCATCCACCGAGGACCGGGGGGAGTGGGAGGACTGGGGGACCAGTCCAACAAAAAGGTGATCACTGATACAGGTCAGCAAATATTTTCTCATTTGGTGTCTTAGAGCAGACTCCGCCCAGCTTTGTCGTCCATGGTTGCTCTTTCAAAGGAATCTAGTTACATATTATTTTACTTAATGATCTACTGACACCACTGACTATGCAGGACAACCCCACGTCTGGAGCCAGTGCACATGTGCAGTTCAATTCCTGGGCAGGTTCTGAAGATGGCCGAGCTGTCGAGGACAAAGTTACTAATGTGAAGCTAATGTGGTTAATCAAGATCTTCATAACCATGTGGAGCACAGTGTGCTTTCACCGTGGAGAAATCACACTGAAGAACTCGGCACACATTTTGGGGGCCTTTCTGTTTGTTGCTACAATCTGCAAATTTCATTAAAAGTTTAATAAACTATCATCTGGTCTTTATTTTTAGTTAGCACATACCTTAAAAACTCTAAGCTGTAAGCTAATGATAGTTACATAACAGCAGATGCATGCTGGTGCAATAAGCTGTATGTTTTATTTTTGATCTGATTAGTCAAATAATCACAAAAATAATCGTTTGTGGCAGCCCTAGTGTGACCTCAAATAAGAAATGATTGCAGTTTATGACTGAGTAACTAAACTATCACCAACTGATAATATTAATGATCACATCTGGACTCACCGAGCCTTTCTGAAGTTCCTCACAGCTGGAATCAGTCTCTGTCGTCCCTCCTTTGTTGTGTTGTACTTCTTCAGGTCCAACTCATCCAGAACCTCCTCTGACATCTGCAGCATGAAGGCCAGAGCTGAGCAGTGGATCTCAGAGAGTTTCTTTGATTTGTTCTCTGACTTCAGGAACTCTTGGATCTCCTGAGATAATAAGATGTCGTTCATCTCCATCAGACAGTGGAAGATGTTGATGCTTCTGTCAGGAGAGGATTTTGTCTTCCTTCCTTTTAGATTCTTGATGACTCTCTGGATGGTTTCTGGACTGTTCTCTGTCTGACCCAGCAGACCTCCTAAGAGTCTCTGGTTGGACTCCAGACAGAGGCCATGAAGGAAGCGAACAAACAGGTCCAGACGACCATTTTTACTCCTGAAGGATTTTATTAGTGTTTCCATCAAAAAATCATCCAGAGATGACTCTTTGTATTTTTTCCCAAGAAGTTCTTCAGCACCTCTGACTTCCTGTTGGTGAAACAGTGGAACATGTAGACTGCAGCCAGAAACTCCTGGATGCTCAGATGAACAAAGCAGTAGACTGGTTTCTGGAAGATCACACACTCTCTTTTGAAGATCTCTGTACAAACTCCTGAGTACACCGAGGCCTCTGTCACATCCAGACCACACTGCTCCAGGTCTTCTTGGTAGAACATGATGTTTCCTTTCTCCAGATGTTCAAACGCCAGCCTCCCCAGCTTCAGAAGAACTTCCCTGTCAGCCTCTGTCAGCTCCTGTGGACTCGTCTCATGTCCCTCGTGGTACTTGTTCTTCTTCCTCTTTGTCTGAACCAGCAGGAAGTGTGAGTACATGTCAGTCAGGGTCTTGGGCAGCTCTCCTCTCTGCTCTGTAGTCAACATGTGCTCCAGAACTGTAGCAGTGATCCAGCAGAAGACTGGGATTCTACACATGATGTGGAGGCTCCTGGATGTCTTCATGTGGGAGATGATTCTGCTGGACAGCTCTTCATCACTGAATCTCCTCCTGAAGTACTCCTCCTTCTGGGCGTCAGTGAAGCCTCGTACTTCTGTTAGCCTGTCAACACATGTAGGAGGGATCTGATTGGCCGCTGCAGGTCGGGAAGTTATCCAGACGAGAGCCGAGGGAAGCAGATTCCCCTGGATGAGGTTTGTCAGCAGCTGGCTGACTGATGACTTCTGTGTGACATCAGAGAGCAGCTTCCTGTTGGTGAAATCCAATGAAAGTCTGCTTTCATCCAGGCCGTCAAAGATGAACAAAAGCTGAGAGACAGCCAGCTTCTCTGCTGTGACCTTCTCTAATGTTGGATGGAAAACATGGAGCAGCTCCAGAAGACTGTACTGCTCCTCTCTGATCAGGTTCAGCTCCCTGAATGAAAGCAGAACCACCACACTGACATGTTGGTTCTCCAAGCCCTCTGCCCAGTCCAGAGTGAACTTCTGCACTGAGAAGGTTTTTCCAACACCAGCCACGCCGTTGGTCAGAACCACTCTGATGGGTCTCTGTTGGTCAGGTAAGGCTTTAAAGATGTCCTGGCACCTGATTGGAGTGTCATGGAGGGCGTCCATCTTGGAAGCTGTCTCCAGCTGCCTCACCTCATGTTGGCTATGAACCTCTTCACTCTGTCCCTCTGTGATGTAGAGCTCAGTGTAGATCCTGTTGAGGAGAGTTCTACTTCCTGTTTCATCACTTCCTTCAGTCACACGTTCACATCTCCTCCTCAGACTGATCTTATGTTCATCTAAAACCTCCTGCAGACCAACATCTGCTGAAAGAAAGAAAAACAGAAAGAAAACTCTTCAATGTCTGAACAACAACAAGAAGTCCAGTTTTCAGAAATGAGTCCATCAGCAGACAGATGTTCAGTCTTACTTTGTACACAGCTGCTCTGACTGGCTGTCTGCAGTCCAGCTCTGCTTCTGGATCTTTCTCCACACTGGGGACAGGACCAGTCTCCTGATGAAGCAGACTGGTCCCAGTATGAGGAGATGCACTGTCTGCAGAACCAGTGTCCACAGCTGATAGAGACTGGATCCTTCAGGACGTCCTGACACAAAGCACAGCAGGACAGCTGCTCCTCCTCACAGACACCACTCCTCTTCCTCTTCCTCCCTCTGTGAACACATTTCTTTATCACTAAAATCATTGACTGTCAGTGACAAACATCCAGATTTGATGACACTGTGCAGAAGCTCTGATGGTCACAGAGAAAAGTCAAAGTGGAGAAACTTGTGTTTGAGTTCAGAATCCAAGTTTCCTTTGCTGTTCCTGCCTGTCTTATTAAACACAGAGTGATCAGCCTACAAACTCCACAGTAAAAGCCTTCATCACAGAGCTGATTATGTCCTTCACTGGATGTACTGGAAGTTTGGGATCCATCACTCTGAACTGACCTTTGACCTCCTCTAAAAACCGTGGTGGAGCAGTGGTGTCACATTCAGAGCTTTCAGCTTTATTTTGAAAGAGTTCAGTCATCAGGAAGTGAACTTCTGGGTTCTGATTTCCTTTCTATTCTTTTACAGAAGTGAAGAAGAAGAACTAAAAGCTTTGAAATGATCTGAGTGATATTTTTGAACATTGCCACCAAATTGAGTTCAGCCTCCAGCAGTAACTTTGTTTCATGATGCCTCCCTGATGATGTGATGTTTGATTACAAACCTGTTTATGTGTTAGACATTAATCACATGAACACAGGCAGAAAAAAGAAGCCAATGAAACAAATGACAGAAACGTGTTCATTCACTGCCATGATCCATATTTTATATGTACAGATGTTTGTAAAGAACACGTGTGCAGCGCTTTGTTCTGAGTATCTGCTGTCAGCACACAGTGCAGCAATAACTACAACCACACGTTTCTGTAGATCCTGAACATCAGCCTGGAGGAATCTGACCTCAGGTCTGCACACAGAGGAGCTTCACCTCTGGGATGATGCTGGCTTCAGCTCCTTCTACAATCAGGCAGAAGCTTCTGCACCATCAGGACACAAACAGAGAGGAGCTTCTATCCTCAGACCATCCAAGTCCTAAATCAGAACATGCTCCCCTCATAGCATCACCATCAGGGTTTAAACAGGACCTTACATCATGTTCTTGTCTCACTGTCATATTTCAGATCATACCTGATTCATTATGACGTCACACGCTGCTACACTGATCCTGCTGCTTCATTACTGCTGATATTACTCTGCTCACTCTGTTCAGTTACTCTGTTTACATCACTTTGCTCATTTGCTTTGTTCTGCTTGCACTGCTCTGTCAGTACATGCTGTGCTAATGTGGCACAAAGCACTTTAACATTACATCTGCACAATGTTTCATTATTTCATTTAATGATTGTTTCTAATGTTTTGTCCAGTCACAGGAGCAGCTCAGCACATTTCACTGTGTTGTACGTGTATGACGATGCCTGTGACAAATAAACAGCCTCGGACTCTTCAATCTTCTGCATTTCTTTGGAGATCAGCTCAGTGGCCTGTTGAGACCATCTTTCTATTTCTGATGACTCAGTTCAGATTATTATCCTGATACTTTCTTTTAAAATGTGATGAAATCATTTATCTGATGTTCTGACACAAATACACCAAAACGATCCCAAACAGCACAAACCACCACGTTACACACAGTGTAATAAAAATACAGGCAACTACAAATAAAAACACTTTAAAATATAAACTAAAATTACAAAGTGGTCACAGAATTTCAAACACCCGTAAATGAGTCAGCAGCTCTCTTACATGGTCAGCTGAGCTCCATGATTGAAGAACATTGTTGCTGCAGGTTCATGACTGAAATCTGGAGGATCTATTTCTCTGGACCAGTCACTCCTCACAGACACACAGCTGGATACTGGATACTGTGACCTCTGACCTCTGCAAACACAAACACATGGATTACTGATTAATCTCTGTTTAAAATCTTTTAAGCAGCTGCAAACACACAAACTGGATGATGTGATGGTTTCTGTCAGTAATAGTTGTCTCAGATTAGAGTACAGACGGCTGCAGAGACGTTCACAGCAACAGAGAAGAAATCATTACCTTGGATTGCATCACTACTACGATTGATACTAGCATTATCGTACCCGGACCACCATTAGGAATCATTTATGATGTCACTGGTAGAACATTTATAGAAACAACCTTTGAACTCTGAGTCAGCAGATCTCTTACATGGTCAGCTGAGCTCCATGATTGAAGAACATTGTTGCTGCAGGTTCATGACTGAAATATGGAGGTCTGTCTTTGGACCAGTCACTCCTCACAGACACACAGCTGGATACTGGAGACTGTGACCTCTGACCTCTGCAAACACAACCACATTGCATTCATTTCACATCAATTAGTACACCACAAAAGGCATGCAAGAAACACAGTATGAAGGCAAATTTCTGGCTTCAATAACATTCAACAGGTCAGGTGGAAACTTTTCTCAGATTTGATTCATGTTTTTATAGAACGATCCAGCTAAAAAAAATATACCATTAGGTCAGGGGTCAGCAACCTTCAGGACCCAAAGAGCCATTTGGAGCCAGTTTCCACGCAAAAGAAAACACTGGGAGCCACAAATACTTTTTGACATCTAGAATGAAGATAACACTGTATATACTGTTTTTTACCTTTATGCTTTGTGTGAACAACTAAGGTGTGTTGCTTATGAAATCCATGAAGTGCTACAGAGAAAATTACATGTTATTTATGTAATGAACACATTTGAACTCTTAAAGAAATATAACCAAAGGAAAGACACCCAGCTGAACTAAAATGATGTAGCAAACAAAAGCTGCTGTGAGCCGCCACCCTTATATCTCCTTTGGGCTTTTGGAGCCTTGACCTGACTTTTAAAAAATAATTGGAAAAAAAGCTCTATGCTGCTGAAAGATGAAAAATAGATATTTGCAAAATTCTGCCTAAATATGTATTTTACCTGGTTAATGTGTGTGGCGGGGCGTGGTCTGCAGTGCCGCTGTAGGGGAGCCGGACGCACCTGAGCGGCACCCGCAATCACGCCTCGCCGCCTTAACGTCTGTGCTGTTGTGTTGGTGTGTGTCGGGCTGTGAGCTGAAAAGCTACAGCCGGCTGTGTGCGTACAGCAACCGTGTGTGAAAAGTGGTCAATAAAGAGAAGCTGAAAAGCGTGTTCATGCAAACATCGTCGGGTCTGCCGTGATATGTTTACAACGGGACTTCTGCTCCTGAACCTCTGCGCACAGCGTCTGCAGGTCGGGGCTGTACGAAGTCACTTTCATCTTTACAGGACTGTAAGCTGTCGTCTGTGAGGCGTGAGCGGTGTTTGTTTTTAACATAGTTCACGGTGGAGAACAGCTGCTGACATAATGTGGATCCAAGATCCATAATTGGCCTACCTGGGGCTGAAAGTCTCGATAAATGCACGGCGTTTCGGCGGGTACACCGGCTTCCGCGAGTGTGACGCTTATTTGAGCGATGAAAAAATAATAAAATATAATTTTATTTTTTTATTTCAATATCACAATAATCTTCCAATTTAGAACTACAAGTTAAAAAAGAACATAAATAAAATACACTTCAGCTAAATACTTCTAATTTATTTTCCCAAACCACGAGGAGCCGCACTGTAAGGACTAAAGAGCCGCAGGTTGCCGACCCCTGCATTAGTGTTAGTCAATGTTGCAACTGAACTGAAAAACAAAAGATTTTGGTCCAAAGAAACAAAGTCACTATTAATACAACACAACCCCCCCAAAAAGAGCCATGTAGACCCCGGGCTCTATGGGTCTTGTGCTCGGAGCTTGTTCCTGTGCTGCCATGATTAGTGCCTCTGTGCTGTCTTTCAGTCCAGCTTTGTTCAGCCACTGGTAGGATTTCTGGATGTCAGCCACTTCCTCTGCCTGCTGGTGGTGCAAACTGTGTTGTTCTGAGTTTCATTGGACGTCTTTGTCCAAAGCACCAGACAAAGGGCAAAGTAGATGCATTTGCATCAGCAGGAAAATACACCCCAAACTAGCATCATCATTATACAACTTTAACAACTGCCACTAAATGATACTTCATACACAGACCAGTGTGAGGTTAAGTTATGATGTCACTGGCAGAACATTTATAGAAACAACCTTTGAACTCTGAGTCAGCAGATCTCTTACATGGTCAGCTGAGCTCCATGATTGAAGGACATTGTTGGAGCAGGTTCATTACTGAAGCCTGGAGGTCTGTCTCTGGACCAGTCACTCCTCATAGACACACAGCTGGGTGCTGGAGACTGTGACCTCTGACCTCTGCAAACACAAACATCAATAACTGATCAGTTCTCTCTGACACCCATATGATCAGCTGATCCCTCTGTGATATTGTGTCTGCCTCATAACGCTGACAGGTCAGCCAATCATCATCCAGTTTTTCTGTCTCTGAATGAACTCAGTTTGTTCTCAGCTCTTCTCTCTGATTCTGCTGCACTGACTTCACTTAAACTTACAGAGTTCAGATCTTAGCAAGAAAACAAGTCAATAAAAAGCAAACTCAGATCAAACAGTTTGAACCAATCACAGATCAATGATTCTGTCATGGTTATGTTGAAATGACTAATAAAGTTAGTAGTGTTCTTACATTATTGCTGCAGGTCCATGACTGTAAGGTGGAGGTGTTTGTGTAACTCCGTCACTCCTCACAGACACACAGCTGGATGCTGCAGATGCTGCTCCGTCCTCTTCCTCCATCTTCTTGATGTCAGGGTGGAGTTAGTCTGAAAGGTAAACACACACACTCAGAGGTGCTGTTGTACTGGAAGCATCACACTGACGGCTTTCTAATGTTGGAGCTTTGGCCCTAAAGTCCAAACCAGTTATTTTAGAGGCTCAAAGTCTTTAAAAAACACCAAAACCATCACATTATTTAATAAGTACATGATCAGGTGGATGAAGGAACTCAGTGTTTTTGGGATCATCATCATGGTGAGGAGCCCACATGTTACGGCTCCTTTGGAGAGAAGCTGAGGATCACTGCAGGAAGTGAGCTCATGAAACCAAACTGCTGTTTGTGAGCAGGATGACTCTGTTATTGGACCTGCTCTGTGTTCTACATATGATCAATACTTCAAATATCTGTAAACATCTAATCTTGTATTTGTTGCACTTGGTCACATCTGTCTTTAAAAATAGATTTTTAATGTCACTGAGAGTTCTTTTCTACCTTTATTGATTTATTTTGGAATAAATTAAATATAAAAGGTGCCAAAAACTGCCTGCAGCTTCTGCTCTGTGACAGGAAACTACTGTCAGGCTCAAAATGACTTCAGATTATTCATCACAGAGTGTTTATAGATCACAGGACACGTTACAGTTTTACAGCCTCACGGACATAAAACTCTTAAAGTTTGTTTCTGAAGGGATTTTCAGATCAGACCTGATGTTTCTGCCTACAGCCTGTTTACCGATATAATCAATACCAGACATCAGAGCAACAGAAACCTCGGTGATCAGGACGCCGGGACTGAGAACAGGAAGTGGCTCAAACGTCGCACTTTCATAAAGTCAGCCTGAACTCCACTCACAGAGTTTCTGTCGCCATTTTAGTTTTAAAACCCGTCGTGATAAGGGCGGGTCTTACTGTGAACCTGCGCGCTCATTGGCTAATAACTTGAGATTGACAAGTCGTTATCCAATGAGCGCGCGGCTTCTCCCAACATAAAGTAGTTTCCTTTGAAAAACCAAAGTCTGATTATTTTTGCCTCCACTGACGGAGCCTGTTGTTCCCGCCACAGAGACACAGTAATGTCAGAGCGGTGTTAACACTCACCTGCCTCAGCACAGCTCTCACTCTCCTCCTGCTCTCTCAGCTAAACTCACTTCCTCTCTACTTACAGGAAACCAGCGCTCAGAGGAGCCGACCGGCCTCACGTTTCACCCACAGACACGAACAGCGTGGAATTATTTTATGTCATAAGAAGAAACATATTCATGTTAACACTCACCTCCATCAGCTCCACCTTCCTCCTCCTGCTGCTCTGAACGGAGGATCAACACTTTCACTTTCACTGCTCCTCCCTAAACACAGAGGATGCTGGGACTTGTAGTTTTTACCTTGTGTGATATTTATGGCTGTGACACTAAATCACAGCATGTAAACTTCCTGCAAACATGTCACAGGCGATAAAAGTTTCACATTAAAGGTGAAGTTATTTTTCTGTCTCATGTTCAATAAACAGTGAGCTGGGAAAACTGAAGAACAGACTTCAGACGTTCCCTGCAGAGTTTCTGCTGCTCGGTCGTCTGCATGTTGCTGAGACTGAGCTGATGATGAAGCTGTGATGGGTTTATGGCACGTTTGGTTCTGGAGAAGAGTTTTACTGCCGGTGCAGGTGAAATGATCAGAGGTTACAGCCTCTGGTTAAAGTGGAGGCAGCGATCAGGACGGCTGAGCAGCAGAGGTCTCGAGGGTCCTAAAGTGTAAAAGCATCAGTGTCAGTAACACAAAGATCACAGAATGGGATCATCCACACAACACTAACATCTAAATCCACGGCAGGAACTCTTCCAGTGTCCTGAAAAATCTGTGTGCACGATGCTGAGATTAAAATCTGTCTGCTCATCTTAATGCAATATTGTGAAGTTACAATTCTTTTCTGTAAAAAGAATTTTCATTTTTGTATATAAATAAATGTTGATGTTGTGCTTTGGGATCGTGTGCTTCAATTTGACTTATAATGTGCCAAATGACTGCAACAGGCGGCTTAAGGCAATGCCATCCAGAGTAAGGATCTTGTTAGCCAGTGTTTCTAAGATTTTTACGCCCCGTTACAATAACCTCAGTTTTATCTGAACTTAGAAGCAGAAAATTAAAGCTCATTATGTGTCTAAGACATCCCGGCAGTTTAACCAATAAAAGTGGGTATCATATGCATAGCAGTGAAAATGTATGCTATGTCTTCTAAAGCACGTATAATGTAAGCAGAACTGGTCTTTGCACAGAAGCCTGTGGAGCTTCATAATTAACCTCAGTGTGTGAAGAGGACTCTCCATTTAATAATAGCTGTAATAAAATGTTCTGGCCAACGGTGTTAAACGCTGCACTTGGGTCTAGCAGGGAAGATTTCAACTTTTCAATATGAATGAAGGCTGAAAACTGATTAGATTAATGTCTGATGATCTTTTCTGTGCTTCTGCAAGTTTGTAACACCGAACATATTAAAGGATGATATAAGGTTCACAGGAAGAGTTTAATTAGACACACATTTACTATTTTTTCTTTATACTCTTTCTTTCTTAACATGTTTAATATGCTTACTATCAGAGGAGAAAATGAACCTTGTGTAGTTTAAAAACTTTTTATTTAATCAAACTGTAATGTTGTTGAACTCTGACGGACGTGTCTTTTAATCTTGTCAACAAATCCTTAATCACCTAAATGTGCCATTTATCATCTTGTAAAATGTTCCCTCTGCTTCTGTTGCACATCTCCCCCGACACTCTCTGCTTCACCAGCCCTGTGCAGCTGGTCCAATCGCTGCGTCCTTAAACTGGTGTGTTTAAATCTCTTTACCTCTGTTGTGAACTTCACACAAAGTTTGTGGTAACAAAATCAAACTGAGGAGGATCTGGTTTGAAAAACACACACTCGCGAGACAAAATAAAAACAGACTGCTCAAAGCAAAAGCAGAGCCCTCACAGCTGGTAGCACAAAACACAGTGACAACGTGCGTATCAGATACCCTCAGTGCCAAAAGCATAAATATGAAAACATGGGATCACCAAGAATACCCTAAAAATGGCATTGAGGGGGTGTTACAGTGAAATAAAATGAAACAATTTCATCTGAAAATGTTTCATTTTAGTAAAAACAATTCTCTGTAGTTTGATACTGTCGTTACAGACAAAGCGGATGTTTAAAGCCTTTGGACGCACATTTGAAATGCACTCATTCTCCTTATCAGCTGGAAACATTAAAGCCGTAAAATGACACACCCGCGTGTAACAAACCATTTGTTGGGGGTTGTGGATTTGACACCTCAGCATTGTGAAAGTGGGGAAACATGCTTCTGGCTGAGCATAAGATTTCTGCTTACAACTTAGAATCTCAGCTCTAAATGAAATTCAGATGTTTTTTTAAGTAGGGCTAATGTATTATTTGACTTCTAAGGCACACACACACACACACACACACTCACACACTCACACACACTCACACACTCACACTCACACTCTCACACACACACGTGTCTATATACACACATACACAAAGCTGTGTAAAGCAACTATTGGCGACTATCAAGCCTTTGAGTCGCCGAGCAGCTGAATAGGCGAATAATGTTGACGCGCCCGCTGTTTAAAACACAAGTCAAAGTTCCAGGTTAAAACTCCTTTATTTGTTATCAAATCCTTAAAATCGGTAGAAAAACAGTGATCAAAACATTCCAAGCTTGAGCGGTCAGCAAAAGTCGACTTCCCCCATCACCCACTCATTCACAAAAATTCCCTCAGGACGTGAACAGATGATATAGCAATCACTATTACCGACACCACGTGACCCAAAGCTACGCCTTATCCACAACAGCAACTATAAATAACGAATCTAAACGTATATACATAAAATACAGAAATGAATGAGGTGGAATGAATACTACAAATGTACATAAGGTGCAGCTGCAGTCTGGCAGTGGGAGCAGTGTGACAGGTCAACTGTTAAGAAGGGAGATGGCGAGGGGAAAGAAACTGTTCCTGTGTCGGGTGGTCCTGGTCTGCAGGCTTCTGTACCGTCTGCCAGAGGGCAGCAGATCAAAAAGTCTGTGTGCAGGGTGTGAGGGGTCTGTGATGATTTTCCCTGCCCGTTTCCTGGTTCTTGAGCGGCACCCCCCTGCCCTCCATCCAGGATGGAGGGCAGGGGGTGCCGATGATCCTATCTGCTGCCCGTACAGTCCGCTGCAGTCTGCTCTTGAACTTGAAGCTTTTGTTACCATACCTCAAACACATGTACCCATACCTTAAACAAAAGCACTGCTTTGCACCCTAGTTGCAATTATGCAACACACATGGTCCTGCATACTACACTCTATTTCACACATAAGACACTTCGTTCACAAAATGAAATTTCAGGGTGCCACCCTGGAAAACATCCAAAATACAAAGCACATCGGGTAATTGCAACCACTCAATACACACCTGAAGGCACGTACTTGAAAAACTGAACACCAATTAGCCAACTACAAAAAGCCCTCAGTTTAGCCAATTAAAGAACTTTGCAAGCATGGATGGAGGGAGAGCAAGAGGAGGAGGTCGTCGAAGAGGCCACGCACAGACCCATATTTCTGATGATATAAGAGCAACTTTGGTGGACCATGTCATCAACCATGGCCTGACTATGAGAATTCTCTAGAATGACTCGAAGACCTTCTGGGGCAGGACGCCAACGCCTGTTCACACAACAGCAGGAACTTGCCGTTGTGGACCTAGTGAGGGCAGACAATGCCATCCGTCTCCACCAGCTACGAAAGCAAATACAGGGAGTGCAGAATTATTAGGCAAGTTGTATTTTTGAGGAATAATGTTATTATTGAACAACAACCATGTTCTCAATGAACCCAAAAAACTCATTAATATCAAAGCTGAATGTTTTTGGAAGTAGTTTCTAGTTTGTTTTTAGTTTTAGCTATTTTAGGGGGATATCTGTGTGTGCAGGTGACTATTACTGTGCAGAATTATTAGGCAACTTAACAAAAAACAAATATATACCCATTTCAATTATTGATTTTTACCAGTGAAACCAATATAACATCTCCACATTCACAAATATACATTTCTGACATTCAAAAACAAATCAGCGACCAATATAGCCACCTTTCTTTGCAAGGACACTCAAAAGCCTGCCATCCATGGATTCTGTCAGTGTTTTGATCTGTTCACCATCAACATTGCGTGCAGCAGCAACCACAGCCTCCCAGACACTGTTCAGAGAGGTGTACTGTTTTCCCTCCTTGTAAATCTCACATTTGATGATGGACCACAGGTTCTCAATGGGGTTCAGATCAGGTGAACAAGGAGGCCATGTCATTAGTTTTTCTTCTTTTATACCCTTTCTTGCAGCCACGCTGTGGAGTACTTGGAAGCGTGTGATGGAGCATTGTCCTGCATGAAAATCATGTTTTTCTTGAAGGATGCAGACTTCTTCCTGTACCACTGCTTGAAGAAGGTGTCTTCCAGAAACTGGCAGTAGGACTGGGAGTTGAGCTTGACTCCATCCTCAACCCGAAAAGGCCACACAAGCTCATCTTTGATGATACCAGCCCAAACCAGTACTCCACCTCCACCTTGCTGGCGTCTGAGTCGGATTGAGCTCTCTGCCCTTTACCAATCCAGCCACGGGCCCATCCATCTGGCCCATCAAGACTCACTCTCATGTCATCAGTCCATAAAACCTTAGAAAAACCAGTCTTGAGATATTTCTTGGCCCAGTCTTGACGTTTCAGCTTGTGTGTCTTGTTCAGTGGTGGTCGTCTTTCAGCCTTTCTTACCTTGGCCATGTCTCTGAGTATTGCACACCTTGTGCTTTTGGGCACTCCAGTGATGTTGCAGCTCTGAAATATGGCCAAACTGGTGGCAAGTGGCATCTTGGCAGCTGCACGCTTGACTTTTCTCAGTTCATGGGCAGTTATTTTGCGCCTTGGTTTTTCCACACGCTTCTTGCGACCCTGTTGACTATTTTGAATGAAACGCTTGATTGTTCGATGATCACGCTTCAGAAGCTTTGCAATTTTGAGACTGCTGCATCCCTCTGCAAGATATCTCACTATTTTTGACTTTTCTGAGCCTGTCAAGTCCTTCTTTTGACCCATTTTGCCAAAGGAA